ATAGTTATAGAAAAATATATATTATTTAGTTAATAATAATTAAATCTTGATCAATGTATGTTATATTCACTCATTACCTTAATGTTTGAGATTAATTTTATTTTATTTTAAATGAAAAAATCAAGATAACGGCTAAAATCAAGAGTCTTAATCTTAAAGATTATCCTTCTCAATTCCATATCTAGATGGTACTCCATCTTGCAAAATTTCAAATATTAAAATATTAAAAAGAGATAATGGAATAAAACATAATCTCAAAAAATTAAGCGAATCGAATTGTAACTACAATTTTACATCAATACCAATAAAGAAAACTAAATGATTTAACAAATTAAAGAACGAAAAAAAAAGAATTGCAGGCAAAAAAAAAAATTATAAAGTTTTTTAATTGAATTGAAATAATTAAAAATAAAAATAAATATTATTTAATTAAAATTAAAAAAATTACGCTTTATCATAAAACAAAAAGAATTAAAAAGAATTTTAAATCGAACAAAGAATTCTTTATAATATGAAGACAAAAGAAATTTTAAAACAATTTTTAATAAAAATATAATAAAAATAAAACAAATTAAACAAAAGAAAGTTACGAAAGTTAAATAAAGAATATATAAATACTATTTAATTAAAATTGACAAAAATTAAGTTTTATCATAAAGAGAAAAGAATTAAAAAGAATTGTAAATCTAAAAAAAATTATTTATAATATGAATAAAAAAAATAAAAAGAATAAAAAAAATGAAAAAAAAAATCACTCTTCGTGAAAGGAGAGAATTTGTCCATCCGCAGGAAGAAATTTTGGAAGGAAAAATTCTTTCCATTTGATTTTCTCCATGCAATCTCTCCATCTCACACATGGACAAAATCTCTCCATGTGTGATGGATAGATTGTCACCTTGTGATGGAAAGAATTCTCTTTATGGTGGATGGAGGAATTCTCCATGCACCATGGAGAAGTGATCTCCGTGCTGCACGAACTATTCAAGCAGTATGAAGTTTTTTTTTTCCTTTTTCTTTTTTTGTTCTTTCTTTATTTATTTTTCTTTTTTATTAAATTTTTTGTTCATATTATAAATAATTTTTTTTGATTTAAAATTATTTTTAATTCTTTTCTTTTTATGAAAAAACTTGTTTTTTTCAAATTTAATTAAATAATATTTATATATTCTTTATTTAATTTTCGTAACTTTCTTCTGTTTAATTTGTTTTATTTTTATTATATATTTTTTTTAAAATTATTTTAAAATTTCTTTTTCTTCATATTATAAATAATTTTTAGTTCGATTTGAAATTCTTTTCGTTTTATAATAAAAAGTAATTTTTTTCAATTTTAATTAAATAATATTTATATTTATTTATTTATAATTGCTTCAATTTAATTTAAAAACTTTATAATAACATTTTTTTTAAATTTTTGCGTGCAATTCTTTTTTTCTTTAATTTATTAAATCATTTTTTTATTAGTATTAGTGTAAAGTGAGTTACAATTCGGTTTGCTTAATTTTTTAAGATTATACTTTATTTCATTATCTTTTGTTCAATATTGTAACATTTGAATTTTCACATGATAAAATAACATCTAGATGTGGAGTTGAGAAGGATAATCCTTAATATTAGGACTCCCGATTTTAGTTATTATGTTGATTCTTTTCATTTAAAAAAAATAATCTCAAACATTAAGGTAATAAATAAATATAGCATACATTGATCAATATTTAATTATTATTAATTAAATAATTAATATTTTTTTTAATTATATATAAGATATATTCAATCCTTTATCATATTGATGGAGTAAATCAGCGTCATTTTGCCATTCAACGTAAGGAAACGATAATGTTTTGTACTGTAAATGCAGGTAAAAAGGGATAAAAAAGGAAATGGAAATTAATAGGAACTATACACTTCAGGACTGATGGAAATTTAACACGTTTATGAGACTTTTAACTTTTAATCGTATTCGTATGTACTAAAAATGTTTTCCTGAATTTTCATCGTTAATGTATTTTGCTATTTCTAAATCTAATTACATTTATTTTATTATTTACTTATTATATTCTCCATCCACATTTCAATAACTTTCAATTCTTTGCAATTAAACAATACTGCACTATTTCTTAATTGAAACATAACGTTCATCTTCTTCCAAAAAGAAATTATTGCACTTTCATTACGCCAATACATGTAACGTTGTATCAAAACATTGTTGTATATAAATGGTCAATAACCACCACATGCTTATATTTAATTTTACTATGAATTCATGGCACACATTAATACTTTTAAATGAAAACAACTCATATATAATGCGTACCGTTAAATGAAATTGAATTGTAGAACGTCCATAAATTTTCAATCAAAACATGAATAAGAGCTAAAGTTTAGAACTTCCAAACCTTAACCAATCCATCAAAAATATAACCTAAAATCTCAATTAATTTCACAATTCCTGTAAAAGACAACATCCAAGTTAAAATTAAATAACAAAATTAAAATCACATGAAAGCAGTTTCCCCCCCTTCAAATCATGTAGGAAAAACTTATATGCTACTGCTACCATGAACTACAGAAAAAATCCTTAATCAAACATTTTCTACGCCTCCCCTACAAATTGCAATCAGGCTAACAAAAGTAACATTATTAGGTCTATTAAGAGTCATAAAAATATTTGTGTAAAAATAAGAAAAGAGAGTTTCCAAGTAAATTCAACAAAGAACGAAAAGAACTTCGAAGAAATTAACTTTTTTTTTTTATCTTCTTTTGATCAATAGAAGAGTCTTGAAAATAATGTTTCACCCAAGCGAGGAAACCCAAAAAATAAAAATGAAAAAAAATTCACTTTTAAGTTTGTACAATTGGGGAAAATGTCTTTCTAATTAGGACTTCAAATATTTCAAATTTAAGTTTGCTGCTTTGCTAACATTTTCGTCAATGAACCAAACACACCAAAATACTCAGATTTCCCCAAATTACACCCAACACAGCAAGTAAAAGTACACTGATTAAGAACTCACACTCGTTGTTTGATAGAGAAAAACAGTGCAATGTTTGAACTTCTAATAAACATTTTGGCATATGAGTGTTATGGAAGAAATTGAAATACAAAAGAGAGAGAAAAAAAGAGAAGTGCTAAAGATGCATAAAATTTTGTTATAATGAATATTCAAATTTCTAGTTGAATTTTAATTTTACTTACCTTCGGATGAAGTATTCAAGATTCAAAAGAAAGAACCCAATGAACTTTAGAGAGAAGAAAAAATGATGGGTGATTTGTGTGGTGAAATGGAAAAGTAAAGAAGCTGTAACGTGTAAAAATGGAGAAAAAAATAAATAGGGCTCTACATGAATTGAGGAAAAGAAAAAATGTCACAAAAATAATTGAAGACAAATGACGTCGCTTTTGTTCACTCGATGAAAAAAAAAAATTGTTATAGTGTGATAAAATGAAAGAATTTACTTTTCTGACTATAGCACCTTTCCATTCTCTTCTTTACGTAGTAGTGATATATAGGTACGTACTATGTTTAAGTGAGTAAATTTAACCAATAATCACTGAACTTTACACTTGATTACTACTTGCTCACTCATCTTTCACATATTACTAAATGCTCACTCATCTTTTCATATAATTACTCATTCACCACTCGTCTCTTCAAATAATTGGGTTACTTTTACGACAAATTTTCGACAACTTCCGACCACAAAGAATGTCGAATTTTGATACCGTTGGAAAGCCCACGATGTCCTCTTCAATTACCACCCAAAATCTCATTATAACTCCAAGGGATTCGATCGAAAAATTGCCTCAAAACTTGCCCAAAAAAATTCTGAAAATCTGCCCAGATTTTCAGATTTTTTGGGCGACTTTTAAGGCAATTTTTCGGCAACTTTCGACCATCAAAACTATCTAATTTTGATACCATTGGAAAGCCCACAATGTCCTCTTCAATCACCACCCAAAATTTCCCGATAACTCCAAAGGATTCGGTCGGAATAAACCCACAAAGTCAGCGTCCCGAACTTTGTCCAGATTTTCGCCTTTTCAAGGTGCTGATTTTGTGGGTTTATTCCGACCGAATCCTTTGGAGTTATGGGAAAATTTTGGATGGTAATTGAAGAGGACATTGTGGACTTTTCAATGGTATCAAAATTCGATAGTTTTGATGGTCGAAAGTTGCCGAAAAATTGCCTTAAAAGTCGCCCAAAAAATATGAAAATTTGGGCAGATTTTCAAAATTTTTGGGCAACTTTTAAGGCAATTTTTCGATTGAATCCCTTGGAGTTATAATGAGATTTTGCGTGGTAATTGAAAAGGATATCGTGGGCTTTCCAACGGTATCAAAATTCGACATTCTTTGTGGTCGGAAGTTGTCGAAAATTTGCCGTAAAAGTCGCCCAATTATTTGAAGAGACGAGTAATGAATGAGTAATTATATGAAAAGATGAGTGAGCATTCAGTAATCTGTGAAAGATGAGTGAGCAAGTAGTAATCAAGTGTAAAGTTCAGTGATTATTGGTTAAATTTACTCGTGTTTAAGTTGCTTCCACAAAGCTGTAACTTTTGTGAGACGAAAAGAGGGAAGGATGGGATTACTGCTTGGGTAAAACTAAAAGCAGCAAAATTTATGTTTTAATTTTGAGTGTGGTATTTGAACCCACGCCATTTCGGACCAGAACCTTAATCTGGCTACTTAGACCAACTCGGCCATGTCAACTTCTGCCCAGTGATGCATAACAATCTTCAATAAATTAGAAAAAAAGGTAAACATTAGTTTTTACAAAGGTTTCTCGTCCAAAATTCAGCTTCCTTACAGCCGTGTTTTCCCCTAAATCAAATGAGAAAAAGAACATTTCATCATAATGATGCTAGGGCAGCATGTCCAAAATCGAAAAGCACGAACAGCATAGTTCTAAATGGCGCTTCATTAATCAATTATGATTGAATTATTTCAGTGAAGTTCGTTGGCAGAGTATGAGCTACTGTGTTGGGAGAGTTCTACTGAGGAACACAATGCATTTGTATCTATAATGTATAATCACAAAACAACAAAAAGAAAAGCAAACACGAGCCTTTTCTCAGTAAATCTGCTTTTCAATCTGCAGTTATACAACATAAACGCGTAGAATCAGATATAATAATTGTTACAGCACATGACCAAGGAAAGGAGCACTGGTGTCCCACCTTTTCAATCGGTTAAAGATCTAGAAATATTCATCTGCATTTAATTAACGATTTACCATGGTCTTACATCAGAAAACAAAACTGCCAACCAACACGGAGGCGAGTGGAACTGTCAAGTTGTCATCAAGCTCAGTGCTTAAAGGATGGGATTCGACCAGTGAAGCGGCAAGGGACACGACAAGAAATCCCAGAACCATCTTGGGACTTTCTTGAACATACCCAAATGAGGAGAAATAGTGCATATATCTGTATCAACATTTCCAATCAGCAAAATTTTGAATTAAGTTTCGGCAAAAACAAGAGGAAAGAAATATTACCCAATACAAGCCAAGAAACCAGCAGTTGCCATAGCAATACTACCAACAATTGATTTGTTTCTGTTGTAGGGAAGTTTATGGCTTCCAAACCGTCTTCCCACGATATCAGCTATACCTGAGGAAAATATTTGTAAATAACTACCGGATTTCCACAGAAACTGAGACACATTCAGGAATAACTAATAAGCAATCTCAGTTCTGTGTTTATTGAAGGAAACGAAATAATATAATTAAACAGAAAAACCTGACAAATACTATGGATCATACAATATGCATGTGTAATGGTCTGAAAAGAATACTTTACCATCTCCGGCACAAAGGTTACAGATTGCTGCAATTGCTATAGGAGAAGTTCTCCAGTAGATTGCACCGGCCAAAGTGATTGTGGAGGCATAGTACAATGGTCCCTTAAGAAGTTCCCTGATGCAACAGATAAGCAGCTCACAATATAAGAAGCCTTGAAAAGAATTTTTAAACTACGGAAGGAAAGGATAGAAAATTGCAGTTGTGTGAAGTTTATTTGGTCATCAATACAGTTGACTCTGTCTTACAATATTACAAGCACCAAGTTCAAATGCAAACAAGTCAAACAGAAATCAATTGATAGAGAAATTTAACAGTGAAGTGGGCTCCAGGTGACTTCTCTTAAACTTCTATTTTTTCTTTATTTCTACTTTGGGAGGATACTAGCGATTCAGTTTTAGAATTAGACAGATAATGTTGTTCACGTCAGAATTTGACAAGTTTTATGATTTTTTATTTCATTTCCTTGGTATCCCCTCCTATAACTTCTTACTGCAATCTAGTACCAAATAGACGCAAAGCCACAGGAATTCCAAAGTATTTTACCAATTACCAGAACCCAAATGACGAATCAAGGAAAGCCAAGCAATAAACATTTATCATTTATAAGCTTATGCTTCTAATTTCATTAGTAAACATAATTAGAGCTATGAGAAGTGGGATCCACAAGTGATAACTACAGCTAGATAGGATAAATGAATGCTAAATAGATTTCATTTGAATTGGCACAAACCTATGATCTCCAAATCTGCTCATGGACTTGACAGTTGCATAATCTTTCCATATTCCGAGTCCCAAAAGAAGCATTTTGATTATATTGACAGCAGGAACAAGAGATGCTATAATAGCTCCTTGACGACCAGAGCTGGGACAATTGCTAATAGCTCAATCATCAGTTCACATATGATAAAATAAAAAATGAAAGGCTAAAATCATGTACAATTACCTGAACATTGGCCAGCAAAGCATGAACGCTAATCCAACAGAAACGTGAACTAGCTTCCTATTCAGTTTCTAACCAAAAACAATGTATAGAATATCAACAGAATAGCAGGGACATGATCAAAGAAATGGTGCATTTCAACTGTTTTTTAAAGAATTTCCATCCGAAAGATGTTGGATTAATTTTGTGGACTAACATAATGTAATGACAATTGACATTTGGGCACGTCACATTTGGGCCAATTATGGATGGACAACATTACACTATTTACCCTGCTTTGAGCCCTTGGGTCCATTCTTCTTTCTTGCCCAAGCCTACCCATGGGGCTTGTGGGCCACCAAAAGGATTTCAGATTTATATATACATATATATGCTCTTTGGTGGATATATAGAGTGAACGAGATTGAAGAATTGGATTCAAAAGAACCTTAGTCTCCCTCTCTCGATTTTAATCTCATTTGCAAGTTCTTCATTGATCTCCCATGGTTTCTAATCAAGTTCTACCAACACTTGGACTTAATGTATTTCATTAATGGATTTTATATGCTTCAAAACCATGGACAATATTCTTGACATTGATGAGATGCAATGGGCTGATTTAGATCTTCTAATATTGTTGTTTTACTCATTTAATACTCATTAAATGTTATTATATTTCAACATTTGGTATCAGAACCTCATCCAATGTGTTTTGAAGTTGGAGGTTGATTAATTCAGTATTTACTGAAACTTAACGTGTCCTTTTCGATAATCTGCTACTTGAATCCAAGATTGCTGTGTTGAAATGTTATTATAGAAATATGAGATTGCTGTGTGTGATAATCAGAGAAAGGAGTAAATTTCATTAGCGGTCACTTTACTTAAAAAAACAAAAAATTGGTGTGGCATTTTAATTATATCATTTTTTTTTTTTAATATCTTGGACACAATTGAATGTTGTGTGCTTGTGAACTTGCCTCTTGTAAGTCTAGGCATTCAAATATTTTTGTTGATATTATTTTAACCCAATTTCGATCACTTTTCTACTAAGATCCGTATTGGCAATGAAATTATCCTATCGATGAGTTCATTGTTTGGTAGGATGCTTAGATTGGTGAGGAGAATGCATGAAATATTATGAACCGGCACAATTTTTTTTACTATCCTATCGATAGTTGATTGATGTATTTGGTTGTGATACTAAATGTATTGCTCTTACCTGTGAATGAGTCAATAGACTCTAGCATTCGATGATCACTTTTATGGATCATTTAAGAAAGTTGATGAAAGAGCGAATACCATGATCATGTCTTTCACATGCATATTAATGTCGCTCTTGTGTTTTTTCTTCAGCTTTGGACAATCCTCAATTTTCTGCCATTTTGAAGCTAAATGGGACTAGTTGTAAACAATGGGTTGAATCTCTCATGATGAATCTTACCATCATGAAGTTGGACTTGGCCTTGAGAAATGACTCTCCTCCTAAGCCCACTGCTGAAACTTCTGCTGATGAAAAGAAGCTTTATGATGACTGAGAGTATTCAAACCGGTGTTGTTTAATGATCATGAGGTATCACATGGAGGACTCTATACATAATAACATTGCAAAGACTGAGACTGCTAAGGCATTTCTAGAAGCTATCAACAAGAAGTACAAAAAGTTTTCCAAAATGAGAAGAATGAGCTTCTGAGCACTCTACATTCCACTATTTATGATGGTGTTAGGGGAATTAGAGAGCATATTGATAAGATTGTGGCCTGTTATCACAAGATCAAGGCAATTGGTATGGAATTGACGAGGACTACATTGTGTGGTTCATTATGGGACTCTACCCTCATAGTTTGACTTCGTTAGGTCCAATTACAATGCTCAGAAAGAACAATGGACCATAGAGGAGATGACTACCATTTTCGCGAAGGAAGAGGATGACATAAAAAAGGAAAGGCAAGAAGTGTGGCTATGGTAACGAACCAGAACAACAATGGTCAAAAAAGAAAGCCTCTACAAAAGGATACCAATGGCAACAAGCTCTTCAAGAAGCAGAACATAGGCAACAAAGGGAATGATCAAGGAGTGCCCTTAGCTTCCAATGCTCCTAAGAATAAGGGCTTTAAAGGAAAATGCAATTACTGCCAGAAGTTTGGACACAAGAAGGCAGATTGCATGAAGCTTAAGGCTAGAATGGGGAAGAAAGGTAATCTTTTGGTGAATGTTTGCCTGGAGTCAAATATTCTTGATGTGCCTTCTAATACGTGGTGGTTAGACATTGGTGCTAAAGTTCATGTTACCAATTCCTTGCAGGAGATGACAAGCAGAAAGAAACCAACTAGTATAGAGCAGCATGTATATATAGGAGATGGTACAAGAACTGAAGTTGAATTTTTGGGGATAGTTAAATTACAGTTTACCATTGGACATTTTTTGGAGTTGTATGAAGTTGCATACATACCTTCGATTAGGAGGAATTTAATTTCTGTGTCTATTTTGGATAGAACTAGTTATAGTTTTCTTTTTGAAACTGGAAAAGTCATATTGTACCGTGACTTTAGTTTGATTGGAAATGAAATTTTGTGTGGTAATCTTTATAAACTTGATTTGGTAGATATGTCTCTTGGTATTTCTTCTTCTCCTCCTCCTCCTCTTATTATCGTTGTTACCACAAAAAGGCCAACATTTGATTAAAAATCTTCCATTCTATGGCACAAGCGATTAGGCCATATTTCTAGGCAACGAATGGAAGATTGATAAAGGATGCGATTCTGCAAGATCTTAACTTCTCAGACTTTGACACTTGTGTTGACTGCATAAAAGGAAAGTTGACTACCAAGGCTAGAAATAACAAAGTTAATAGGAGCACAAAATTACTTAGGTTTCATATTGACATCTGTGGGCCTTTTACTCCTCCAGCTATGGGTGGTTACAAGTACTTCATCGCTTTTATTGACGATTTTTCCCGTTATGGTTTTGTTGAGCTCATCCGTGAGAAGTCTGATTCTTTAGAGGCCTTTAAAGCTTTCAAAGCGAAGGTAGAGCTTCAACAAAGGAAAATGATCAAAGTGGTTCATTCTGATAGATGTGGTGAGTATTATGGGAGATATGATGAGACGGGACGAAACCCTGAACAAGAATGCGACATTGATGCTCAATATACAATACCTGGTACACATCAGCAAAATGGAGTTGCGGAGAGAAAAAATACACACTTCTTGTGCGACGTATGTTGGCAAACTCTTCCTTACCAGAGTTCCTATAGGGTGATGCTTTGAGAACTGCAACTTATATTTTGAATCAAGTGCCTATTAAGTCTGTTCCCAAGACTCCTTATGAGTTGCGGTCACAGAAGAAACCCACTTTACGTCATTTTCATGTTTAGGGTTGTAAAGCAGAAGTAAGACCCTACAATCTGCAATCCAAGAAACTCGACCTTAAGACCGTCAACGACTACTTTATTGGCTATTGTGTGGGATCGAGGGGCTCTAGGTTTTATTGTCCATTGCATACCACCAGAGTTGTTGAATCAGATCGGGCAATCTATTTCGAGGATGACACTAGTACAAGCCAAGAGCTTAGAGAAATTGTGTTCAGACAATACCCGGTCTTCGTCCCTATGCCTATCGCTTCCGCTCCAACAATTGACCCTATGGTTGATCGGCATCCAATAGCCATTCAGAATGAACCCGTTGAGCAAGACGCTCTAGATGTAGCCATAGAAGATGCACATTTAAGAAGATCAGAAAGGATTGGCAGACCTGCAATCTCTGATGACTACATTGTCTACTTGCAGGAGCATGAGTATGACATTTGTGACACCTCAGATCCAACTACTTACAAGGAAGCCAATCTCTAGTCCTCAATCCAATTTTTGGATGAATGCTATGAATGATGAGATGAACTCTATGTCACAAAATGAAGTGTGGAGCTTGGTAGAATTACCAAAAGGTTGTAGATCCATTGGCTGCAAATGGGTATTCAAAACTAAGCGTGATGCTAAAGGTCAAGTGGAGAGATATAAAGTAATGCTAGTAGCTAAGGGCTATAACCAACGAGAAGGTATTGATCACAAGGAAACCTTCTCTCCTGTTTCGAATAAAGATTCTTTACGAATCATTATGGCAATTATGGCACATTTTGACTTGGAACTTCATCAAATGGATGTAAGAACGACTTTCTTGAATGGAGATTTAAGTGAAGATGTCTACATGATTCAACCTATTGGTTTTGAGGTAGTTGGAAAAGAAAACATGGTTTGTAAGCTCCAGAAGTCAATTTATGAGTTGAAACAAGCTTCAAGGCAGTGGTATCTCAAGTTCGATGAAATTGTCACCGCTAACGATTTCAAAGAAAACATTGTTGATCAATGTATATACATGAAGGTCAGTGGAAGTAAGTACATATTTCTGATTTTGTATGTTGACGATATCTTGCTCGCTGCTAATGACGCTGACTTATTATTTGAGACAAAACAACTATTGTTTGACCATTTTGACATGAAAGATCTTGGTGTAACATCATATGTCTTGGGCATACAGATTCTTCATGATAGGGCCGATGGTATTCTCAGATTATCTCAACGTACTTACATTGAGTGTATCTTGAAGAGGTTCAATATGCAGTCTTGTTCTTTTGTGCAGACTTCAATTGTGAAGGGTAATAAGTTCTCCAAAGCAAAATGTCCTCAGAATGATGTTAAGAGAGATCAGATGAAAATAGTCCCTTATGCTTCTATTGTAGGCAGCTTGATGTATGCTCAATTATGCACACATCCTGATATTACCTTTGTGGTTGGTTTGCTTGGTAGATACTTGAACGATCCTTGTCAAAGCCACTGGAAAGCGGCTAAGAAAGTTTTGAGGTATCTTCAAGGTACCAAGGATCTCATGTTGACATATCAGCATACTGACACTCTTGAAGTCATTGGTTTCAATGATTCCGATTATGCAAGTTGTGTGGATGATAAGAAATCCACTTCTAGGTACATCTATATGATGGAAGGAGGAGTTGTTTCGTGGAAAAGTGTTAAATAGACACTTATAGCTTCTTCGACCATGGAGGCAAAGTATGTGGCGTGTTATGAGGCTACTTGTCATGCAATGTAGCTACGGAACTTCATTTCAGCATTAGGAGTTATGAACTCTATTTCAAGACCATCGAAATTATATTGTGATAATTCCGTAGCAGTATCTTTCTCTCGGAACACTAGGAGCTCTTCTCGATCCAAACATATTGATATTAAGTTCTTCTTTGTTAAAGAAAAAGTTGCAGAGTCCCTCATTACCATTGAGCACACGCCTACGAGCAGCATGTTGGCGAACCCACTAACTAAAGGCCTACCTATTTGTGTGTTTCAAGAACACGTCTCCTGCATGGGATTGTTGGGAGCCTAATTTCTTTGTTTCAGTGGGAGTTTACTGTTCTTTGTATGTTTTGTGAGGATTATTTAAATTTTTTGTGTAATTCATGCATATTATGGATGTATGTCACTATCTTATGATACTACATATCTTTGTGATTTCATAAGTAACGAAATGATGATATTAATGTTATTGTCATACTTCTGGATTAACAGCGCCTGATTATATATATCCTATGCATCCGATCGGTGTGTTGGTTATGTGTAATTATTTTAGCTATGTTTGTTGCTATGAAAGTATTTGTGGCAAGATTATGTAGTTCAAGTGGGAGAATGTTGGATTAATTTTGTGGACTAACATAATGTAATGACAACATTCCACTACTTACCATTTGGGCACGTGACATTTGGGTCATTTATGAGATGGACAACATTCCACTACTTACCATGCTTTAAGCCCTTGGGTCCATTCTTCTTTCTTGTCCAAGCCTACCCATTGGGCTTGAGAGCTACCAAAAGTGTTTCATATTTATATATACATATATATGCTCTCTTTGGTGAATATATAGAGTGAACAAGATTGAAGAATTGGATTCAAAAGAATCCTAGTCTCCCCCTCGATTTTAATCTCATTTGCAGGTTCTTCATTGATCTCCCACGGTTTCTAATCAAGTTCTACCAACACTTGAAGGTAATGTATTTCATTAATAGATTTTATATGCTTCAAAAACATGGACAATATTCTTGACATTGATGAGATGCAATGGGCTGATTTAGATCTTCTAATATTATTGTTTTGCTCATTTAATACTCATTAAATGTTATTATATTCCAACAAAAGAAGCCCTCACTAACAATATACTGCCAGTAAAAGACATAATCCGATGGGATGGAATTTCTTTTGCAAGATCCTCTTCAAGATTAATTCCTTTTTACAAGTTTCTGTTGACACATAAAAATTCAGCTCAAATCGAACGGTTCAAGGAATGAAGCACAGTTGGAGGATCCCCAAATCAGATGGCCCAAAGAACGAAGCCCAATCAAACAAGTCAAGATGAAGGCCCAAATAGGGAGGCCCAAGAACGCGGTAACACCATCGCCCAAGTTTGCAAGTCGCCAGAAATCTGAGCGAATGGAATGCCATGCAGTCGCCCAGAATTTGAGCGAATGGAGTGCCATGCAGTCGTCCAGAGCTGTTACTCTATTCTCGCCCAAACCTTCTAATCGCCCAAGATCTTAGCAAACATAAAGTGTTGCGGTTATCAAGAAGTGCAGTTATCAAAGCAGTTATTAAAGCAGCACTATCATGTTCCACGATTCAAGGAATTCAATCGAAAACGGTTGAATGACGAAGAGTAATTGCAACAGTTAAAATAAAGGCAGTTCCATGACAAGTTAGCTATTACGAGGAAAGTGGGCAGTTGTAGAACGATCAAGCAGTTTTAGGGCAGTTGATTACAAAGAGATCATCCAGGGAGTATAAAAGGAAGAAAAGACATAGAGCAAAGGAACCGAATCAAAAACTCTCGAACAGAGAACATGTAATTTTAAATTCTTTAATTTAGATTTAAATACTTTTTTCAGTAACTCGCGTGCTTGCGTCCTTTGGAGGCATTCTGTTTTTAATTTTCAATTGTAAACTCATAGCCAATAAAAGAACACCCCTTTTTAGAATTTTTTCTCAAGAGGTTTATCCCTTACACAATCGTCTGATCCCTTTTAATTATTAATAATTAACCCGTGCGAAACAGTTTCTTTTTGAGATTTTTTAAGTTTCACTTTTTGAAATACTAAAATATTTATTTACCTTCCTGAAAAAGTACTTTGTACTTTCTTTTTCACTTAAGCATTCTAAGCTTAGCCCAACAGGATTCTCAATGATATTCCAATTATTTCCTGCCATTTCAATTTTCGTGTCCTTATCTCGGAAAAAAATATATATAAGCAACAAACCGGAGAAAATGATAATAAAATTCAACCTGGTCAAAGAGCCCTCTTTTAGCGGTTTCTTCCCACAATCTAAGCAACGATAGTGCAATCCCACCAGACAGCACGGTGGCGATGACGTCACTGACAACCGGATTTTCCGCAAACATGGCTACCGATGACGTCAAAGTCCGACGGATTGTTCTTCTGGGCTTTCCCTCAAGCTGCCGACCAAATTTATAACGGTGGAGAGAATCAGAGGACGAGGTAAGAGGGCTGTAATTAGAGGAGAACAAACGTGAATGACTGCAAAAATAAAATTTGGACTTTGATTTGACAGTTACGCAGAGGTAAAAAATTGTTGAAGCCATGAATCAATAATTTGGGAGAAAACAAACCTCCACTGATGGGATTGGTGGTTGGGTTTTATTAGACTACTGCCTAAAATAAGCTAATCATTGGACTTTATCTGGTTGAAATAAGCTAATTATTCAATAGCGGCAGCTCTTGATGAAGATGGATTGAACTTTCCAAACAAGGTAAGCGCATCTGTTCTCAAGTGAATTTGGGAAAAAAAAATGTCTGTACAACCGTCACAATGAGAAGCCGACAATTATTTTATTCGGGCAGCCCCTCAACATGTGAGAAGGCTGTACACCAATACTTTTTCCATTAATTTAATTCCTAAAAAATTTACTTTCATGTTTAACTTTGACCTCTCAAATATGATTTACTTAATCACTACGCAATCGCCCACCAACATTTTATGATAGCATTATGATATGCACTTTTTTTCATTTTTTTGACGGGTATTGATCAACCTATCGTGATCACTAAAAATACGCATCCTTGTGGACTTAACATTTACTTATTTCGCTTTTTTAAATAAGGATGTTAAGTAATATGAATGCAAACAAAAAAGTGGAAACGTGATTATATGAGCATCAAATTGAGCTAACATGAGTTGATTGGAGATATTATCTATTAGTATTATTGTAAAATCCCTTATTTCATGGGTCAACCACAACGTTAACCTTCCTGTAAATTGCCCCTTCAATAACCCGTTAACCGAATGAGATCTAAAAAGTCAAAATGTGTACAGGGAAATTATAAATATTCTTCCATTTATTTATAATTAGTACCAGTATTACACTTCTGTCATTGAACCATGAAACTAGGAGGATAAACTAATTGAGATTTTATCATAGAACAAAACTGCCCACCAACAATGAGGCCAGTGGTACTGTGAAGTTGTCATCAAGTTCAGTACTTAAAGGGTGGGATTCAACGCATGCAGAGGCAACAGACACTATGAAGAATCCAAGAACCATCTTTGAACTTTCTTGAATGTACCCCAACCACGAAAAATAGAGCATGTACCTATTGCCACATTTTGTAGTAGCAAATAAATCATCAATGTAATTGAAGAAATTAAAGAGAATAAATTAAGAAAGAATTACCCTAAAGAAGCCAAAAACCCACAAGTTGCCATGGCAGTGGTGCCAACAATTGATTTGTTTCTGTTGTAGGGAAGTTTCCAGCTTCCAAATCGTCGCCCCGCAATATCAGCTATACCTATGAAAAAATTGATACGTTCCATGAAAAATGAAAGGCCCTTAAATTGATGTGAATCATTTGAAATAATGGTACCATCTCCAGCACAGAGGTTGCAAATTGCTGCTATTGCTGCAGGAGAAGTTCTCCAATAGATAGCAGTGGCCAAAGTGATTGTGGAAACATATCCCATTGTTGCCTTGAGAAGTTCCCTAATCCACTCAAAAGTTATTCAAAGAAACAATATGACTAATCGAATGTTCTCCAGTACTATCAACCAGTATTAGTAATGGCTGAATGACAGTCTCGTAAATAAAACAAGATATATATGGTTCTCTTGCATTGGTACAAACCTGGAATTTCGGTATCTGCTGAGGGACCTGATGATTTTCTCATCTTTTCCCATTCCAAGTCCTACAATAAGTCCTCTTGTTGTGACTAATCCAGGGATAAGAGATGCTAAAATTGCTCCTGTACGCCCAGAACTGTCCAGAGAAGTAGCTTGTTCACCATTTATCAAATCTAAGAGATCAGAAAGAAAGAACCTCTTAAAATTACCTGAACAATGGCCAGCATAGCATCAGAGTTAGTCCAATCATAACATGACAAAGCTTCCTAAGTACATTCTAACCCCCAAAAAAAAAAAAAAAATACACATGTAAGCAAGGAATAACTCTGGTATTCTTAATTTGCAGTAGAGGAAAAAGAACATAAAAGCAGACCAAGTCGAAGAGCTCCATTTTCGCTGATTCTTCCAAGAATTTAAGTATGGATAGGATAACGCCATAGGTGAATGCAAGGGCAATGATATCCCCAGCAACCCAGTTATACCAAAACATGTCCTAACCTCAATTTCAGATTATTTGATCCCTTTTATCAGCCAAGGAATTGTAGTCAAATAGAACATCTTGAACATATATAACTATTGCACATTGATAATAACTAAACAATAAAAAATTATTTTTCTTAAGCCCGTTTGATTCTCATTTTTATCAAAATACTTTTTTCTCTCCTTCTTTTTAACTACACATTCTTCATTAAAATAATATTATACATAAATCAAAAAAATTTCCTTATTTTTCATCCACACATTCTCTATCAATCTATTATTCTAAAATTCATTTTTCCATAAAAATGGGTATCAAACACCTTCTTAGTATAATCTTATGTGCCTTGTGAACGACATAAGATTTCCACATTTTCTGGATTCACATTTCTTACATGAATAATAGATCACAAGACCAAATTATAAAAACTATGATAGTTCCTTAAACGAATCGATTAGATGGTTGTTATAGCAAGTTGGAGTTTTAATTTCCTTTTCTGAGCTTTTCGTGTGTGGCACTGGCAGCTTATATCATATACCATAAAACTGTATCTTCATTTTAACCCCCTTTTTTTTTTTTTTTTTTTTTTTTTTTGCTTGGTAGACTAATGTTATAGCTCAAGGATTTTTTTCAGATTATAAATAGTTCTCTCATTTTTAAGGAGTCATTTCTCTGTCTGTATCTCATGATTGATTTTGTTCCAGTTGTCTTTTTAGAATTAAACTAGTGTGTCAGATGAATTTTGACACCCGATTAACTTACACTCATAATCGAGGTGGGTGGGGTGCCATTTTTTACATTTTTTATTCCCATAAGGTCGGCGTGGGTCCCATACAAATGTGAATATAGGTCAACTGGGGTATCAAAATTCATCTGGCACCCCAACATGATTGATATGGGTGATAAATAAGTATTTAGTAATTTTGAATCCCCAAAATATGAGAATAAAAAAATAAGCCGAATATTTATAAAAGCCCTTCCAAAACAAGCTTGATCCACTTAAATTTTTTATCGAAGTTCAAGCTCCAACCATGTTTTTAACCCAATAATTTCCTTTTTCATATGTTGACCACCAAGGGCCTTCATAAACACGCCATAACATAAATTTTCATTTAGATTCTCTTAATAAGAATCTAGGATGATTAAAATTCTCAGATACATTTTACACCTCTATATGTGAGCCTAATCTAGGCCGAAGATGATTCATTTAACACTTACAGTTACAAAATACAGAACACGCTTAGTAAAATGTATATTCACCGAAGATGAAAGTTGAGACACGGAAGTTTCAGCTAATAAACAAACACAAATTCTCAGAACAGACTGTTTCTTTCAGGAGACCTCAACAAGCAGCTAAAAATGAAAAGGCAAATTCTAGTTCTTGAATGTGGAGCTTATAAAAAGAGAAAAAATTGATAAGTTTGGACTCCATTTTATCCAAAATCACATTTTTCAATAAAATAATATTATATGTAAATTCAAAAAATTTCTTTCTTTTTAAACCACACATTATTAATTTAAAAAAATAAAAAAATTCACTATTCCAAACTACATTTTTCCCCAAAAACACATTTTAATGGAGCCTAAACAAGGGCTACGCGGGGGATGGGGAAGAAGACGCAACCAAGAAATGGCATCAGCAGAATTTATGAATGGAACATGCTTAGAGAAACAAACACACAACGGAGCTTCAATCAACTTATGAGTTTTGTTTTTTCCAAAAAAGGGCCATAATAATACCACCACACTTATATCTACTAAGTAGGTACAAAATCAACTAGGAAGAAGTGAAGTAGATTTTCTCAACTGCTCTCGTATATGCAAGTAAAATCTCAGGCAAGTTGCAACGATCTTATCTTGGAGGAGGTGGAGGAACATGAGATTTTGTCAATTCCACCTACGCAACAATGCCAACTGCAAGAATTATCCATCCAAAAACGTCATATTTGAGATCGCTAATTTTGTTCTTCTTTGCCCTCTGCTGCTGTAGAATAGTAGCAAACAAAAATAAGTATGAATAAACTGTATGATGTATTCAACATTGTAGTGGCAGCATTTTCCTTGAGGTTTGTATTTGTATAACATTCAAAAGTTTTCTAGAATAATAATGGAATGTATGTTAAAAGAGATTCCAAGGCCGTAAAAACAGTTTTTTTATGTGTAAAATTATTTTTTCCGCGTATTAGCCCGATTTGAAATTTTGTAGCCCGATTTTGGATTCAATCCTGGATCTCTCCCTCTGCGAAAGGTCAAAAGTTTCCCGATGTTGAGGTCAAATTACTAATGTTACAATTTTCAAACCCTGACTCAAATCGAAAAGGTGGTCAAGGTTTCTACGGTAGCAAGTCTATTTAATAAACGAATTAACTGGAAAATTGGGGAACTTATCCAACAATTCAAACACCGGATGATAGCTATAAGAAAATAATCAGACATATACCTCAAGTTGTAGAAAATAGAAAATAAAAAATAAACGGATAATTCAAAATGTATTACAGGTCGCTGAACATTCTAAATCACATAGGGATAACAAGGAAAACATTACAATACCCCGTATTCCTATCCAAAAGTTTATATTAGACAATAAAGATCCTGTATTAAAATCAAAGACCCTGGTGGAAAGTCGTGAAGAACTATCGTACAGATAAGACAAGAAAGCCCATTATTTGTAAACAATTATGCACCAGCAACTCTCAAAGATGAGATACACCTAATAATGCTGAGAATAAATATGAGAAAATGCAGTCAAGGCAAGTGAATCACAGGTCAATGAATTCTTACTTTTATAGGAAAAAGCAAGCAATCTATTAATCAAATTGTCCAACGATCAAGCCAAGCCCTTCTCATACTACTCCAGCACATTCAAGAAATACATTCACCAGTTCAATTATATAAAGAAGAAATAATAAAATAAAAAGGAAAATATGCAAATCTCCTTTCAATGATCCGTCGTATTTCAAATTAAATGGCTTCACAACTGTTACGTACAATAGGAGCATTTCAGTACCAACTAATCAATCAGACCAGGTAAAGATGATTGGAAGGAAGGAATATGTACCTTAGAAGCCACCTCTAAAGATTTTCTGTAAAGCTCATTTTGTGGATCCTGCAACCAAAAGAGCAACATAAAAACCGAGGCGTAGCGGGTAAAAGGCAAGCACCGACAATATTTAGTAATTTAATTAACTATACCACTTCAACTGCTTGCTCAAAGTACTTGATCAGGAATCAGAAATGCATTGGCCGTGTATGCATTCCCCAGGCACCAGAGTATCATGCTTCCTTGGATTAACTTCCAATGCCTCCTCTAACTTTGATATGGCGTCTAGACAAAGTTTGATTAAACCGCACAAGTTACCTTTGTTATAAGCATTAAATTTACAAATCCAGATATCCAGTTCTTCGGATAAATACATTCAACCTTTTTTAATTCCTTTTCAAGATAAAGTCATAATATTGAGTTTTGACGACATGAAGATGGCTGATTATCATAAAAAATTTCCCCAGCACAAAAAATTTCACAATATCAATCTTATTAATGAAAATTTTAAAAATAAAAAGTAAATTGCACAGCTAGCAATTAATCAAACACAAGCTGCACAGTAAAAGGTACCTGATAGATTTCCACCTCCAATACAAAGTTTGTTATTCATTTATTATTCTAGAGCATTCCATAGTTAGTTAGCAAAAGGGTAAAAATGTAATAAAAAACTAGTGGAATTCTCTATAATTGTAAGAGGGGGAAACTGGGATGATAATTCAGGGAAAATTGGGAGAGACCGGGCCTCTCGAAAGCCTTGGAAATCATTACTTTCATTCTGTTGAATTCCAATATATCATTCAAGATCAGCATTCCAGTAGCAATAGCACGTGAAGTCCTTCAGTTGAAACACAGCATCAGAGGAACCTATCAAATTGGTATCAGAGCAATCGATTCTCGGGGAGTACCAACGATGGTGATGCAACAGAAAGGAGATTGAGCCATTGATTTAGGGTTGGATTCATGTGGCCGACTCAACACACCGATATTCTATGGGGACAATTTAGATTCGTGGTTGTTTGAGGCAAAGCGATGCCTAAGCATGACTCATGGCTTACTGGAGAGGGCAAAGGTAGAAGCCGCAGTCGCTTGCTTCCTTGGAGAGGCTTGGGCATGGTTTCCAGGTATAGACGATCGCTGTCCGATTAGAACTTGGGAAGAATTGAAGATGTTGATGATGGCTCGATTCCACAAGAAGCAAATCTTCGTTGCCGGTAAATTTACAGAAGGGAAGGATGAGAAGGGGATAATAGAAAATTCATCGGAACTCACCATCATCTCGAAAATTTTCCCAAAATTGGAGGAATCTGGAGTAAGTCCCCTCAATACGTACCGCCGGGAGGAGCCGGATAGGAAGGAAAAAGAGGTCGCGGTCACTTCGTTGGATGCCACCATTAATTTTGAAATTGTACCAAAATTTGAAGAAATCGACAATTGGGAGAGAAAGAAGAAAGAAGGGAAGTTATTCTGGCCAAAACCATCATCACCATCTGTGAGGAATACGCCGACAAAGGGAATCAGAAGCTTGGGTTTGGAGATGAGTGTCGACAGTAGGCTGAAACAGTGGGGTGGAACTAAAGTTAACATGCTTAAATCACATGGTTTTGGCCAAATTATGAATCTATCCCAAAGGGATGTGGACCAAAAAAAGTATCCAAAAAGGGCCCAACCTAATTCTGGCCCACATACCATTATAAACAATAACAGCAACCCCTCCAGCCCAACTGTTAATTCCATCCCTTATTATCTTTCACCCTAGTCAGCATACTAAGCCCCTTCATTTTCAATCCCAAAATCAGTTTCCATTATTCCAAAATTCGATAAGCCAAAGCAATCATAACCACCAAATCAACTTACTATTTTGGAGCTTCAAAAGAGGATGGAAAATGGTTTATGCCTTCATTATGACGAGAAAAAACCAGTGGGCCATAATTATGAAAATTGAGGGTTACTAGTGTTGGTGGTAACTGATGATTTAGAGGAAATATGCTCCATAGAGATGGAAAACGGAGATGGGGA